GCGGCTGGCATATTGATAGAGCAGTAAATCGTGGGTATTTGTATGGTGTGGCATGTGTGCATGTGAAGACGGTAGTAAGCTATCGAACCCTTATTCTGCAGTCGCGCTGATGCCCCACCATTATGAGAACATGGTATAGCTCGTCTGCGTTGAGACGCTGCAGCACACTTGCTAGGTACAAAGGCCTAGCGGATGAGCTGCCCAGTTCACCCTTGAGGATCTGCAATCGACAGCTGTCCAACACTTCCCTGTTCCGGCCTGTGTTCACGTTCTACAGGCAGGGTTGAGTGGAAAAGTAGAAGATGCGGGAGAGTGAATAGAAAACCACTGTAATCCACAGGTTCGCTAGTTGCCTCTCCAGGCTGCCATCTGTACATGCTTGAGACGATAGAGGCTTATATCTCTTCACTGCATGTATCAGCTGTCTTCCGTTATTGGGGCGGATTCAATTCGACGTCATCTGTGAACTGCAACTCGACTTGGACTCATTGACAGTGAAACCCTACCGTCTTCGATGGCTTCCAGGACTTGCCTATCTGGGAAGGCGCGCTTGGCGTCTAATAGGGGGCAAGCGCAATCTTCCGACCCCACCAGTCAGCCGCCCATCTCGATTCAGACCACGCGACACCAGGTCATCATCCTCCATCTAAGCCATGACTGCTGCGTAACTTTCCTGTGCATCCATCCTCGCACGAGATCAACTGGCGGTGTTACTTCGACTGTTCGCCTAGTATTGATCATCTGCTGTTCACGATGCGCGAACGTCTCCGTCCGGACTACCTAGGTACCTTGACCTAGCTGCTAAGTTTATTCTAGGTCGAACCAGCTACGTCGCCGCATTTGTGCATCATACTCAAGTCCGTATCTCTTTGTTTTTGTTCGTTTGTCATGGAAACGCTATACCTGGAAGAGGTCTGTATCGTCTCAGCTGCCTCCATACTGCATGCCAATTTTGCGCGCCGTGGTTCACACAGTTACAAGCAAGCGTCAGCCCTGGCGAGTACCTTTAGAGGATACTCTATGTCAGGTACAAACTAGAATGGTAAGAGATGCGGAGCTGCACAGGCAGCTGCAAACCTTTAGCCTGCCTTGGGTGAGACTTCTTGCCGGCATGAGCCTCAACCGCACCGCGTGACCTCGCACTTTAAGGTACACACGACACATACCCACGAAGATCCCAGCACGAGCTGCAGTCACATCGCCAGTGCAGATGTTCGGCACTATTCGTCATCCAAACAGATCGCTTATTCCTATCACTATCACCCACGTCGCATCCGACTCAACAAACTCCACATTCTCTCATTATGGCAAATCCTTTCGGACCTTTCCGGCCCGCATCACCTGCTGAGGACCTGCCGCCATACTACCAAGACACAGGCAACGACGATATTCGGCAATGCTTCCGTAATTTCGATTTGGACCGGAACTTTGACCTCTTCGACCGGCAAACAAGAGAGCACAGGTGTCGCAATTTCTGTATCGACTTTGGAGAAGATGAAGGTGATGCCTTTTGCGCTTTCGATCTCAACGCCGAAGCGTACAAAAAGTTGCTGCAATCGCCACGACCGACTGAACTACATACGCGATGGATCAATATCTGGAATCCCTCCAACCAGAAAGAGCTGATCAGAACGCTAGCCTCTCACTTCGACTTCACGCCTAGACTGCTGGGCATGATGACGAGCGACCACGTTCCGCCACGTAACAACCCATCCTTGCGCATGAAGAAGAGTTCTTCGACCCTAAGATCGGTGTTCTCCCACAAATCACACACATCGAACATGTCCAATTCGATCAGGGAAAAGGCGAAGCAAGCGAATGAGCAAGCTTTGGATTCAGAATCCAGTATCGGTCTTACCGAATTGATGCAATCTACACAGCTGGAGCTGGTCCGAGATTTGGATCACTACCAGCTAGTAGACGATGTATGGCATTGGAGTACCGTCGATCAGGGTCGGAGATGTAAGTTACCCTTTGCTTGATAGGAGACATGGGTGCTAGATGAGAACCCTCTGCTGACAGTAAAACAGATATGGGCATAGGCTACAACTCGCTACACAACGTCCGCAGCAAAGAAACCAACACCCGCCCTATAATCTCGGATAGAACCCGAGACGTGCCCCACGGCAAACGTGTATGGAACTGGCTTCTCTTATGCGAGGATAAAACCGTCATTTCGATATCCGAAGACCCATTCCCATTCGCCAACGGTCCTTTAAACCATGAAGACGTAAAAGTACTTTTCACCACACGTCGGAATACTGTGAACGTCTTCAGGCAACTTACAAAAGCGCCGACGCCGCTAAGGGAGGCAGCACTCACTCAACTACCCATCCGCCAACGTCTCGGCAGCAGCGATGAGGAAACAGCCCACCGTCCCACGGATGCCCCCGGCTTGCTCTTCTACTACCTCTTCGAAGACTGGGGCGCAACCTTCGATCTCATCTCCCGCCGCGAACACGGCTACGCCGCCGAGCTTGACCGACTCCGACAAGAAATGCTCCAGACAGCCAATCTCACCCACGTCGACCAGCTCCACCACATCGGCTGCCAGCTCGCCGTCCTAAAGCGCGTCTACCAAAGCTACGAATTAATCATCGAGCGCGTCCTGAAGAAACAAGAAGCCACCCTCGCGTCACTTAAGAACTCGCACATCCTCTCCGGCAACGCCTCCCTCGTCTCCTCGCGCCCCGTAATAAACGACTCTCCCGGCCCCCTCGTCCCCGAAGCCGACAGCCTCCTCGGCGTAGCCCTCAGCTCCGCCGCGCGCGTCCGCTTCGAACGCCTCAAAGACCGCATCCAGCTGTACGCCCTCTCCGAGATATCCGAATGCCTCGACCAAAAAGAGTCCCTCGTAATGATGAACTTCAACCTCATCGCCATCAAAGAATCCTTCTCGGTCGAGCGTCTCACCTGGGTTACCCTGCTGCTTGCTAAGATTACCATTTTGTTCACGCCTGTGACGCTGATGACGGGGTATTTTAGCATTCAGTTCAAGGGGCTGGAGTTCGAGGTGGACAGTTATTGGCGGGCGTTTGGGTGGACGTTTGGGTTGAGTGCTGCGTTGCTTGTGTTGTTTAGTTGGGTGAGTGGGACGTTTGAGGGGAAGATTATTACGAGGAGTTGGACGAGGGCGGTTTATGATGTTGCGCATAGGTGGGTTGTTGGGAGAAGGAAGAGGGGGAAGATGATGTAGAGGAGGATGGGGAGGGTGGTGGATCTATGGGCGGTTAGATCCATAGGATGGAAGCAAACTGAGTTCCACTTTAGGAGCGATTGCTGTTGCTCTTCGTGACCTACCTGAGGGTACAACAAACTGACCGGCCACGAGGTGTCTTCCCAACCATAAATACGAAGCGATCTGCGAGACACCTCTTCTGCACCATACTGCACCGCAACCATGACATCAAATCAATACGAGGCCATCATGTGGGAAAGCGAAATGAAGAAAAAGATCATATCCCACGCACGCGTTATATACGCCGATCAGGTCCGCCCTGGCACCGCCTTTGACGTTGTCACCACTGTGAGCGTTACCATTAAGGAGGCCCAGAAATACATAGGCTATATCTTGCATCTCATCGCCCTCGATGAGCTGTCTCACCAAGGAAAGCGGAAGGTTCTGATGTCGTCGAAGGAGAATGCTACCGAGGCAGATAGCTTGGATCTACTCATGAGGGGACTGCAGGGCAGGCTTTCCACTATAATAGGTCCAGGCTTGGAGGATGTGTAGAGTATATGATGCGGCCACATTGATCATTAGTGCGGGATAGAGAAGGGTAAAACATGTGCTCGCTATGTTTTGTATAGTACCCAGGTACTTCTAAATGTCTGCGCAGGTGAACAACCACAATCGTTTTCCCCAAGAACCTCGCTGTGAGACGTTACAAGACACTGCTCGTACGTGCTAGAAGATTATGTCAAGACCAGTAGGGTGTTTGCTCAAATGATTGGGCAAACACTAATCTCAAGTGGTATGTATATATCCCATGTCTTATTCTCCCGGCACACTTTATACCATAGCTTCAACTGTTGTACTTCGCTTGTCTCGACACTTCCCGACAGACACTACCGTCTCTCCACTGAACCACAATCTAATCAGCATGTCCATGTCGAAGTACGACACCATCTTGTGGGAGAGAGAAATGAAGAAGCAAATCACATGTACGTACTCCCAGCTCCCAAACCCCAGTCATCCTATACCTTATCAGTCAATGAATACTGCTAACGTCATCCCGCCACAAAGCTCACGCCCGCGCCGAATGCACCGTTTACCGCTACGGCTCAGAATACGATGTTATCCACACATATTCCAGAGAGGAAAAAGACAAGGAAAAGCCCTACAGCATTCACCTGATCGTGTACGAGCGGCCGAACAAAAGCAATGAGTGGGAACGAGCTTGTTCTGTCGACGGCAACGTTGATGTTGCGGAGGGATTGAGTCGTCTTTTGGAGTCGCTGAGAGTGGGACTAAAACGGACGATTGATAAGCCGAAGAGTAAGCCAGGGACTTCTGACAAGATTGATGACGTTGAGAACGCGACAAAGGGCAGCCGGGGGAAAGATGTAGATTCTTATCGCCCAGGGAAGAAGAGAGGTCATAGTCGTATTCGTCGCCGTAGCCGTAGTCGTAGTCGTAGTCGTGGTCATGGTCGCGGTCGTAGTCGTAGTCATGGTCGTGGTCGTAGCCGCAGTCCTGATCGTAGTCGTAGTCGCTGATGAATGTTCGGTTGCCAGCCGTGCAATGGATATTCTTTTCTGAGATGACCGTGGCTTGATGACGACATTGGCGTTGGACTCTCGGGTGTTTGTTACCACCAAATGTAGACTAGCTGAGTACACGGGCGCGGAGGTGAAGGTTTATCCGCAGTCGCGCTTGCTTTGCACAGTACTCACTCAAATAAGAAACTTCTCGCGCATCCTACTACACTATCTTCTACCTCGCGTCATACGATCGACTATCAGCGATCGCTCAGTCCGCGACCGCAGAAGCTAAACCCATGAACCCGTACGAGACCATTATGTGGGAGAAGGAGATGAAGGAACTGATCCTGTGTATGTATTCACTTCCCACTACTCACGCCAGAAAAACAACTAATTCGGTATTATTACACAGCTCACGCGCGTGCCGTTTATGGAGAGATGTATCGCCAAGGCACCGTCTTCGACGTCGTCCACTCTACTTGCGCTACTACATATGATATGGACCGCGCGGAATTGTTATCGTACGACATCAACCTAGTTGTCTACTTCCCGCAGGATACACTTCTCAGTTGGAAGGTCCTAAGGAGCTGTTACTCCGGAGTTACTGCAGCGGACGGATTGAACGCTCTGCTGGAGTCACTGAAGTTCAGCTTGCAGATTCGCATCAGTGAGTCACTTTGCCAATGAGTCCAAGATTCGAAAAGAACTTACAATTTTCTGCAACAGGTGAGAAGGCTCAAGCTGAGAAAATTGTAGCGGTCATAATGGAGCGAGAGACGGCGAAGTCGGAGTAACATCTGGGACTCTGATAACATTAGGACGTTGGTAGCATTGGCTCTACCAGTACGATGATCTTCGCATCAGGCGTTCCAGAGTGGGGAGATTGGAGTTATCAGGACAGAGATGGGTCATTGTCGTCGTATATTACTGGGAGCTACGAATTGGGCTTTGCGATCAGTCGACAAGGTCTTCGCAGTACATAGCAGCATGCGATACATATCATCCAAGTTGTCCTCATCACAAGCCGGAGTAAGTCTGGGTAAAGTTCACTTTCGCGAATGCGGATTGCCCTCAGCGGAAAGTGAAGGTGAAGGTGAGATCGAAAATTTTCGCCTCCGCGCACGAACGATTTATAACGCAGCTTTAACATTTTCCTTTCTGCATCCTACTCTCTACACCCACATCTTGAGCACGACGACGACGATGGTCTCCATCCACGACAAGCTGGCTCGGGCCAAGTACGAGGAGAAGCTCAAGGCTACCATCCTCGGTGAGTTCATTGGCGTATCACGCTGCTTCACGTCTAACGTATCTACAGCCCTCGCAAAAAGCTGCTATGGTCAGGGTCAGCCCTCAGACATGACGTTCGACGTTGTGACTGGCTTCGACGACAACGAGAAGCCCACCATGCTCGCCTGGGTCATCTCCTACAACAAATTAGATTGCGACAAACTGGATTGGGAGCCTTGTATGGGGTCCGAGAATTGCTCGAGCATAGAGGATGCCTATCAGTCGCTAATTCGGGGCTTGCAATCCAAAATGGTTGATCTGATGGGTTAGTGACTTATCCGGAAACGAAATTCGAAACAAGAACATGACTTACTAAACATATGCAGCGGCCAAATACGAGCATAATATGAGATTGGCGGAATATTTGGGCACCGATTAGTCAAACCACGTAGGCCGTTGGTACGAGTGGTCGCAATGCTTTCCCTCGGTCTAATGTCAATACTACAAGGGCTACTAGATAGTAGTCTCCAAGCTCATGAAATGAAGAAACGATTATCGGCTCTTCAATGTCATGTCGGTATCAACATCAACAAAAGCCCAGGTTTCCGTACTGTTGCGGTCCTTTGTATTCTCATGGCTCAATCTTAGATGCCATACGAAAGAATAACCGGGTCGAAGACGCGGCTTTCGTGGCGCGCTTTTTGGTACGCCCACTGTGGCGAAGTCCGCAAGAGCCGCGAATACGAGAAGAGAGAGAATACGAGAAAGAGAGGTAACACGAGAAAATGAAAGTCGAGCAAATCTTAGCAGCACATAAATATGGTATCATCCCACGTAATTCAGTTTTATCTCATTCATCGTTCGTTTACTTCCTTCCAATACTCGTCATGTTACGATACCTCACCCTAGCATCACCCGCTCTCGCAAGCGCAGCCGCAACACCACCTCCACAATTCTGTCGCACAACCCCCTCCGACGCATCATGGCCCACACCCTCAGAATGGTCCTCCCTCAACGACACGATCAGCGGAACTCTAATCCGCACCATCCCCGTCGCGTCATCATGCTGGCCTTCCACCAACAACACTTTCAACTCCCCTCTGACCTGCCAAGAAGTCAACGACAATTGGTCGAACGGGACCTGGCATTCGCAGCAACCTGAATCAATCGACTACCAGCTCTATGCGAATAACTCTTGTTTGCCAGACGAAGTGGGGAGTTGGTCGGAGAAGCAGGGTTGTACGATAGGAGGCTTGCCGCAGTATATTGTTAATGCGACGGAGGAGGTTGATGTGGCGACTGCGATGAAGTGGGCTGTGGAGAAGAATGTGAGGATTGTGGTTAAGGGGACGGGCCATGATCTTAATGGACGGTACGCATTTCTTGTGTTGGACATGTGGATGATAGGAAACTGACATTACCTCGATAGATCAAGCGGCGCTTTCTCCCTCTCAATCTGGACGCGCAACTTTCGCGGCTTGACTCGCGACACAGCTTGGCATATCGCCAACAGCTCTTCCCCACCCGAAGACGTCTTCATCGTCGGTAGCGGCCAACAATGGGGCAACGTTCTCTCCTTCGCAACGGGCCAAGGTCGAGTTGTGACGACAGGCCAAGACCCCAGTGTGGGTTTGGGAGGCTACATCCAAGGCGGTGGTCATGGCCCCTTGGCCTCCACTTACGGACTGGCATCAAGCCAAGTCCTACAGATGACCGTCGTAACAACGACCGGACATGTGCTTGTCGCCAACGAAGTCCAGAACCAAGATCTCTTCTGGGCACTGCGTGGCGGTGGTGCAGGACAATATGGTGTGGTGACCGAGTACGTGATCAAGCACTACCCAGCTCCCCGTAACGTCGTTATGGCGAGTGTTCAGATCAAGCCGAAAGGTAGCTCGAACGCCAGCATGGAAGCTTCGTGGTCGGCAGTAGCCACTTGGCTCAGTGCGCTACCCGATCTCATGGATGCCGGACTTGCAGGCGCTGCAACCGTAGCAGTGGGAAGCACGGCACCGAAGTTCTTCCCTGATATCGATGTCTCGAAGGGACCGTTCACTGGTATCGGACTCAACCAAGTCTTCTGGGCGTTCAACACCACACCCGCTGCTGTCGAAGCGCTCGTCCAACCCATCTTAACAAACCTCCTCCTTCAGTTCAGCACCAATACAAGCACCACCGGCAACGACAGCTCTCTCGTCTCAACTTCAATGTCGACATCAACCCACCCCACCTACCCCTCCTTCTTCACCACCATCTCGGGCGACAACGTCGCCGGCGGCGAATCCCTCACCTCCTCCCGTCTCCTCGGCCGCGCCGAACTCATCCACACTCCCCACTCGCAAGTCATCTCATACCTGAAGACCGCAATGGCGAGTCAAAACACCACAGACCCAGGAAACTACGCCACCATCGGCCTCTCAGGCGGACCCGGCGTGCACTCCACTCCCTCCAAACACTGGGGCGCCTTACACCCCAGCTGGCGCACCGCGTACCTTCATTTCATCGCCACGGGCGCTACTATTGATTCCCGTGCCGCGGGGAGTGCGAAGCGCGCGTTGAGCATTGGTTCTGAATGGCACAAGGCTGTTAAGGAACGCATGTGGGAGGAGTGGGCGCCGGGGTCGGGTGCGTATATGAATGAGGCGAATCCGTATGTTGAGGGTTTCCAGAAGGTGTTTTATGGGGATGGGTATGAGAGGTTAGTGGAGGTGAAGAGGAAGTATGATCCGAGTGGGAGTTTGTTTGTGTTGGCGGGGGTGGGGACGGAGGGGTGGGAGTATGATCTTGATAGTGGGAGGTTGTGTAGGGTTTAGAAAGGGGCGGTTGGTGGGGTTGTGGAGTTTTGTGAAGTTGGTAGATCGGATGCGCCCTGGTTGTCATATTGAATAGATAGTGCACGTTGGGTCCTAGATGGCCAGTGACAATATAGCAGGTTCATGTGGCACCGTTGACAGTATCCGGCTTTCACGTGTTGTGTTACGCGTCTGAAGGAAGATGGTGGGTCGTACTTGGCATTACAGTGGGGCGTATCGCTACAAGGCGGTCTGTGACAGGAGGTCAGCTATTGTGGAAGAAAGCAATACGGTTTGGAGAAGGCGCGGTCCTCAGAGAGATGAAGAATTTCGTGAAATGTGACTGAATTAATTGGGTCAATTGGGTACTGCAGATAGCTCATCATCCTATGATCCCATTTTCCCTATCGCCGCTCCCGTCCTAGTATGAGCCAATTCGATATGGCGCCCGGCGTCCTTTTGTAAACCGGAAGGGAGTCTCGTATATCGAGCTCGTGTGTCGTACGTGATTCGTTTACTGGCCGACCTTCTTGGTCTCCTCCTGAAGCTCCTTGATCTGCTGCTTGGTGTCCTTGCCGGTCTCGGAACGATCCGCCTTGACCTATTCTCTCCGTTAGCCAATCCTCTCATAACCATGTTCTTCCATCTTCCCGATAGGATAGATCCAACTTACAGCGCTCTCGCTGTCACTGGCAAGCTGCTCCTCCCAGTGTTGCTTGCCGTCCTTCTTCTTGTTGAGCTGCTCCTGCTTCTTCTTCTCGACCTCCTCAGCACGGTTCTCAGAGTCTGTTCGCTCATGTCAGCTCGATTCCTTCTCGCAGTGTAATATTGGCACGCGTTCAATGCTGTGATTGTTGGCGCTAAGCCGAGGTTGGCGGTGCGGACGTACGGAGAGCCGACTCCTTGCCAGCGGTGCGGGCTATTGACTGGGAGAAAGCGGCACGCTGAGCAAAGGCAAAGGGAGCGCGACGGGTCGCGAAGGCACGGATAGCGGACATGGCTGGTTTCGGGGGTGTTTATGTGGAGGGAAGTTTGCGGGGTTTCGGCGGTATAGCTCGGGGCTTCTAGCTTTGGGTATGTTTCGGTGTGTTCGTGTAGCTTGACAGGAGGAAGGAAGGTCAATTGAGTCGATGGAGTATCTCAGTAGTATGGAAAGAGCTTGCAAACTTGGCAGATGGACGCTTCAGAAGGAAAGGTTGGTATGCTGGAGAAAACACACGTTCCTCGGTTAGTGGACGTGACTAGCTCCAGCACACGACGTCATACTTTCCCCGGCCGGCAATCACCATTACGAACATTGGCCGATTCCTGTCAGCCACTCGACGGAGCCTCATTAGTCATGCCATTGCGACAGCTAGTTGAGGCCTAGATCTGCAGAGGCTCTTGTGAATATGCAGGCCGCCCAATTCTAGCATAACGTACCAGTAGCCATCTGGAGCTTGGGGTGTCAGCTGCTCAGATGCCACCTGGCACAAAACAAAGCATCGGTTACACATCACCTCTTGCTCTTGGCCATGCCGTCGCACGCTCCAGTATCTGCCTGTCTGTCTTGTCACTTGTGCCTGGATATGCCAACGCGACGAAGGAACTGCACAGACCAAGACACGCGAATCCAATGGACCCACTTACACGTCGCAATTGCCATGATGAACGTCGACTTCGATTGCGGTGTCGAACCCCAGGCCTAGCGATATGTTGTAGTCGACCACAATGTCAGGATGACGGACAGCTACGACCTGCCGCTGGACGAATACCGCGTGAGACTAACTGAAGATGCTGATGCGAACGTCGTGTCCAAGCCCCAAAGCAGGACAAACATCGCAACGAGTAGCTGAGCCCACTGGACTATTCGCGTTGGTCAGAAAGCGATAAGAGACGACCGGACAACGACACAGGAATTCCTACTGTCAGACTGAAACATGCGGTTGGCCAGGGTAATTCGACTCGGTTCCTGATGTGAGGCCCATCTCCATTGATGTGGAGGATGGATGCCATTTGACTGGTACAAAATTATGCGTCGTCGTTGGGAAATAGAAATCTTCAGCTGAGGTAAGCCTTATTGAGAGATGGAAGATGGTGGGTTATAGACATACACTTGCAAAGTACACACGTTTGTAACGAACATGATCTCTTTATAAAAACGGCATTTCCTTCCAGACCGCCACTGGGCTCCCAAAATCATTCTCTGTGTCCTCACCATCTTGTTATTCTTCCTGTTTCTACTACCCACTGCTGGGGTTTTTGTAGAGCTGCGCAGGAAGATCCCTTTCGTATCTTGATCCGTGGTACCGCTAAACAAGGTCGATATCATGTCTGCCGTTGAAAATGTTCACACCCACACGCCATTCCCTCTGACTTTCTATACGAACAGCAGATATGTGTCCTATCTATAACAGCATGTAGTGATTTTCATGATACTTCACATAATAGCGCAACCCAATTCCCCGACATCTCCCTTAGTATAGCGGGTACGCTAACACAATGTCACGAGATACGTTAGATGCGATTCTTCCGACAGACTAACGAGTAAATCATGAGCATACAACATGCACATACTTTCTTATTACATCACAAACATGCAAAGTAGGCATATATCACTAGCCCGTGTCGATGGTTACCACTTTCCCAGTCCAATCCAATACCTTTC